TTATATTTATTACTTATATAGATTAATAAGTTAGTTAGAGAGTATTTAAAAGTAGTTTAAATCTTATTTAAGAGTAGTATCTATAGTTTACTAAGAATAGAGATACTTATGTTAATTTAGATGTTATGTTATTAGCTTTAAACTATGCTATAGCTAACTATTTTACCTAGTTGTCTTACTAGTAGTTTATGTATACTTATAGGACTTATTCTATTACAGTGTTTATATTTTTAGTCTAGCTGTTAGTCTCTAGGTAAAAAGCTATAGATAGATAGAGAACAATTTAGAGCTGTTTACAGAGTTTGTCCTAAAAGGCTAAGACAAACTGCGTACCTCTGTCTAATATAATTATGTTAGGCAGGCTATAGTAAACTTATACATATTAGTAGAATAACTAGGCTATATTAGGGGCAGTTATAGAGGAACATAGTATTAAGTGTTAATACTTAGTTAAGTAATTAATAACTACTATAATATTTATATACTTTTTAGATAAAAGTAGGTTTATAATAAAATTAATTAATATATTTTTCTAAGCTTGTTTAGAGATTAGAAGTAGTTTAAGTAGGCTATTATACTTTTTTTAAAAGGCTTTTACTTTACAGCAAGTATAGCAACATAATATGTATTAGCGTACAGTATAGAACATGCGGGGCTAGTAGTACTCTCTCTGTAGTAGGTTAAGAGTCTTTCCTCTGCCTAGGTGTCTTTTAACAGGCAAGTTGTGTATAATTTAGAGTAGTTTAATTCTTAGTTTATTAAAATTAAGAATTATAAGTTAGTTATAGTAATATAGCTTACTATTTTAGTTTTTATAGTTAGCTAGTGTTACTTTCTTTAACTAACTAGCGCTGTTTTAGAGCAGGTCTAAGGTTTTTTAGATAAATTTATTATTTAGATACTTATTAGTAATAATTTAATTAATTATCTATTTTATTTTATTTAGGTTAAGGTCTAAAAATAGCTTAGGTTAAAGTAGAGTTTAGTGTTAAGCTTTTTACACTTCTTTTTAAGCAGAGATGTTTTAGAATTGCTTTATAAAGGCATCTAGTTTCTCTTTGTTTTAACTAAGATAATAAGTAATCTTAAAATTAAAATAAAATAAGTATTTAGACTAATAAGCTTATTAGTAGCTAAGTTATTTTATAGTTGCAAAGTACTGCAAGTTCTTGTAGTTAGATAGAACCTGTATTAGATGTGCTGCACCTTTTAGTTTAGGTTGCTATTGTTTAAAGCAGTGTACTATAGTAAGTAATTCTTTATTATAGATTTTATAATTACCTTTTGTAAGACTTATTTTTTTTAAGAAGTATGTAATAGGCCTAATAGTCCTGTCTAGCTTAGTCTAGAAGAGAACTCCTACTACTATGTAGTCTAAGGCATTAGCTTTTACAAGTATTAGTAGTTTAAAGTTAAAGTAGTAGAGTATTAGAGCTTTAGTAAAAGCTTTTTTTAGCTAGTTAAAGAACTATTAGTAATTTAAGTTAAAGTTAAATTAAATCTTTTTTTTAGTAAGTATAATTATAGGGCTTACTTACTATAAAAAGTTGTTAATAAATTATTAGTAAAAGTTAGTAAATTTTATAAAAGCTTAAACATTTTTTACATTTTTTAAGTATTACTAATCTAGCATAGTCTAAACTTTAATAGGGTCTATTTAGATGCTATTTATAGAGATTATATATTCTAAATATGTAACCTTTAATTAGTAGAACTTACATTTATCTATGTTAAGTTGTAGACCTGCTTCTTCTATAGCCTTTAGCACTAGGCGTACATGCTGTTTGTGCTCTAAAAGGCTATTACTATAGATTAAAATATTATTAATATACACAGTGCAGAATATGTCTAAGTAGGGTTAAAGCAAGTTATTTATAAAATGTTAAAAAGTACTAAGCGTGTTAGCTAAGCTAAAGAGCATTACTAGGTACTTAAATAGTCTATATTAGGTCTAAAATGCTGTTAGCTACTTGTTACCTTTTACTATCTTTAGCTTATTAAAAGCAGTAATAATATTTAACTTTATAAAATACTTTACTTTACTTAGTTAGCTTAAGGTTTTCTATAAAAAAGAAATTAAGTATTAGTTTTTAATAGTAACAGCATTTAGTCTTTAGTAGTTAATGTAGAATTAAAGCCTACCTCTAGGTTTCTTTATAAATAGTATAAGTAACACTACTAGTAAAAAGCTAGCTTAAATAAACCCTTTTTTTAGGTTCTTATTAAGGTATTTTTAAAGCACTTTTAATTTATTTAGTAACATTCTATATAGTAGTTTATAACTAGGTTGTTTACTAGACTTAAAAGTTATTTAGTAATTATACAGACATTATATTAGAAGCTTATTAGACTTATTTTAAAAAAAAACATGTAATAAGTTATAGTAGTCTTAAAAAACTATTATTCTTAGGTTAGTGTGTTTTTAAGAAGCTAGAGCTTAGTCTATATTAGAAATTATAACTGCGTAGATTTTATAATCTAGTTATTAAGCTAGGGTTACAAATAAAGTAGGTTCTATATAGTAGATGTCTATCTGCTGTTTAAGTTCTAGTTTATGTTTAAATTAAGTAGTTAGAAATTCTTTAAAGGCTTTTTTTTTTTTAAGTTTAAGCAGTTATTAAATTATTTTATATAGCCTATTTTAGTAAAAGGCCTAGCTTGTTAGCCTTACTTAGGTAGTTTTTTTTTAAGTTATTAAAAAGTAGGTCTAGAGACCTTCTATATTAAGTGCTACTTAGGTGTTGTTTAGGTGTAAGTGTAAGTATATATCTTAGCATTAAAAAAAGTTAAAGTTTAAGACTTACTTTTAGTAATTAAAAGCAACTTTATGCTAATATAGCTATAGTTGTCTTAGAATTAGGTTATAATATTCTATGTTTATTACATAGAGCTTAATCTACTTTTTATAGTGTTAGTAGGTAATTATAATAGTTATAGTATAAAAGATAGAACTTTTTTTAAGTTATTTTTTTTTAAATCTAGTTAGGTAAATTATTTAGGTAAGTAGTGTTAATTAAAGGTTTAGTTTACATGCTAGTTCTTTATTAATGTAACTTATGCTGTTTACTTCTAAGTTAATAAAAGCTTATATTAAGGCTAATATAGTTTCTTGTTATAAATATATAAGAATATTAACTTAGTACTTTTAGTTATTAGTAGGGGACTTAGCTTATAGGTTAGTAGAGATCTAGTGTTAAATTAGTTCTAGAGAGTAACTTAGCCCTAGGACAAGCTTTTTTACAGGCTTTTACTAGTATAGCTGCGGCTATGTTAAGAGTAGTAAAAAGAATTAAGGCTTAAATATAAGTTAAAGCCCTTATAAAAATAAGATTAAAATAGTAAGAATTTTTAATAAGTGCTAGCAGCGCTACTTATGTAGACTTAAAGAAAAAAAATAAAGCAGTTTTAAAAAATATAACTATGTTTACTGCACTTAAAGTATTAACTTTTTTTTTTTATAATTTTTACACTTTTTAAAACTAACTAGAGCATAATTTAAATTAATTTTTATTATATTAGGGTTCTTATTTGCAACTGCGCTAGTTTAGGGGTGTATTAGAGCTTGTATAGGGAGGAACCTTATGTTATTATTATAGGTAGTAATTAGGTTTACATACGCATTAAAGTTGTTTAGAAGGGGTTTTTCTACTATAGCGCGTTACAGTTTAGTTAAGAGGGAGTTATATAGGGCTATAATTAGACCTATTTTATTTAGGCCTGTATTAGATGCAAGTTAGTAGAACTTAGTAAAGTGTAAAGTAAAGCTTTTTTTTTTTTATTATAAAGTGTTTAGGCAACTTAGGGCTGTTAACTCTTTATTTAAGTCTTTATAAGTTATTTATAGGAACACTATAAATTAATCTAGGTTAATAATATCTTTATTTATTAGTAAGTTAATTAAGGCTGTTACATTATAGTTAAGTTAAAAGTAGGCATATAGTAACTAAGAGTGTTTAGAGAAGAATTAGTTTATGTTTTCTTTAAGTTTATATTAAAGCTTGTGTAAAAAGAAAGGTAGGTCTTTCTATTTTCTATTAAACAGCAGGGGATTAGGGAGTTAGTTAGATTTTATTACTAGGTTAGAAAGGTTATAGGTTGTAGGCAGTATTAAGTAAGAGAGAGTTAAGCTATCTCTAGACTTCTAGGTAAGCTTTAAGGCTAGTAAGTTCTTAGTTCTTACTACTATAATAAGAGTTAAGGCAGAAATAGACTGCTTAATAATATAAAGCTGTTCTTTAAAGTCTTTTTAAAAAGCTTTAAAGCTTATAATGTAGTAGCTTTTTTATAAAGTAAGCGCTTTTTAAAAAGCTTCTTAGCTTACTTTAATAGCTTAGAGTTATATAAGTACTAAGCTTATTTAATTAGATTTAGAGGCTATTTTTAGCTAGAGTTTTAACACAATATAATGTTATAATTATGCACAAGTAAGGTTATAGAGCTTTATAAAGGTCTAGTTTAATTACTACATAAGGTATTATAGTAAGTACAAGATGTTATGTAAGAAATAAGAAAGTTTAAAAAGAAATTAGTAATTAAATACTTAGCTTAGAAGTCTAAGCGCTTTAGGTATAAATTAAGCCTATTTTAGGTTTAGTTAGTGTTAAGGCAGTTTATGCTTAAGTTTATGTCTATGTTGTGTTGTGTTTGTGTTAGACGTGCACTAATAATACTCTAGTACGCGTCTAATACAGTTATGTCTAGGATCTAGGGAGGATACTGTGACATTATACAACTCTAAATATTGTGCGCAAAGAAAAGCTCTCTTAGAGTTTTTTTAGTAGTTATGTAAATAATGTTTATATAAGTTTATCTATTAACTATATGTACGCTTAAGTAATATTACGTAGCTTACAGTGCATACTATATAAAGCTATTAGTAATAAGCTAATAGCTAAAATTAACCTCTAACTTATTTTCTAAATTATAAGAGACTATGTAAGAATTTTCTTCTTCTTTTTATTAAAATGTTTTATAAATACTAGTCTTAATTTTTTATATAGCTATGTTAATTTTTCTTTAACTTTATATATAAGATAAAAGTTAAAGATTTGTCCCTTATAAACTAATAAATTATATAAAAGTACCTTAAATATACTGCCTGTAATTAGACTTTTTATTTCTGTATAGTCTAATTTTTTAAATAGTTTTCTAGGTTTTATAATTATACTGTCTGCATAGAGCTTAATTACTAAAGTGTAGTTATTTTTTTTCTTCTAGGTTAGAAATATTATGTCTTATATAAAATTTTTATATAGTCTTTTATAGCCTTTTTTAGCTAGTTATAGTTCTAGTTTGTATAATAAATTTAATACTACTTAAAAGGCTATTTTATGTAGTTTATTAATTAGAGTTAGTTGCTTGCGTAGACAACCTCTTTTTTATGCTTATAAAGGATCCCTTTGTACTAGGGCTAGTTTGTCTAGATCTAGCAGTTCTTATGCAGGTTTATCTTTATCCTGTGTATAATAATACAGCATAACTTGTGTGCAGTAGAGTCTTACTAGACTATTTTTTATCTTAATAATAATGTCTAGAGCCTTAATTCTCTTTACTATATATAGTTTAATTTATCTTTTCTTCTCTTGCTATGTCTTTACCTTAGAACTAAGTAGAAGATTTAAAACTTTATATAATGTTAAGCTATTCTAGGTGTTAATTATATAATTAACATTAACTTTTGCCCTCTTACTTTAAAGCATCCTTATTGCCTTTTATACAGCATTAGCCTGCGTAGTAATGTTAGAGGATAGTGCAGAATTTATGTTAATTCTTAGGTATATTTTAAATATAAGTAATGTAAGTATAAGACTATTTAGTTTTACTATATTATTTAGGGCTTTAATAGCTATTTATAACACTAATTTATTATTTGTACAATTATCTAATTCTGCATAGAGGATGTTGTATGCATGTTATAGTAGTGTGTGCGCGCGCTTAATCTTCTCTATAGCCTAATAGGCTTCTACTAGCATTTGTTAACATGTTGCTCTTATAATCTTTACATAATTTTAGAAATCTTTAGATGCAAAGTTTATACTAGAGTTATATATAATGTAATTAGGTAGGCCTTAATATGTATTAATCTAACACTTGTAGAGCATGTTCTAGGTATCTTGTGTAGACATTAATTTTAAGAAGGTTGCTGCTTAAAATAATATATCTGTGTTAATTATATATAGTACATTTTAGTTACTAATTTATACAACATTAATTACTATTTTATAATTAAAGTATAAATTATTCTTAATTATAAACTTAAATTTTTATAGTGCTAAGTTATATAGCTAATATATATAGTAAAACTTCTTAATTTTTTTAAGTATAAAAAGATTAGTGTTATGTCTAGCGTTTTTAAGCATTATGTAAAGCTGTTCTGTACAAAGATAGCTAAACCTTCTATGTAGTTATTAAAGTTTATGTTCTATAAAAAAGACATTAATTTCTTCTTTTATATATTAAAGAATAAGTAACTTTATTTATGTATAACTAGGACTTTAATTTTATTACTTTATGTTAAATAGGCTCCGACAGCCAGCTGCTTATAGTATGAGCACTTAAGTAGCAAGAGTAAGAGTGGTGTACAGTGTGCACAGCGTATAAGGTAGGTAAGGTAAGGGTAACATGTTTCTAGTTCTATTACTCTTGTCTTTCCTCTATATAGAGGAAAAGGGGGATATCTAGATGTTTGCGCACAAAGGTTCGCGCACAAGCATTATGTGACATAGATACGTGATCCTGCTTGTGCGCAATTGCTTGTATCCAGGCTGCGACGCTGCTGCTGTGTACAGACACTAGCAACTTTTCTTTTTGTCTAAAGAGTTGCCTTCTGTACATGTTACCTCTCTTCTGTCTATGTAGGTCTATCTAATTATGTTCTGCCTTTACTCTACCCTATTTGTTAGGACTTGCCTTAGTGATGCTGTACGTTAAGATAGGCTAGTTGCGCTATGTAGATAGCTCTATAAATAGTGTAGAGTGTTTTAGGCTATTATTGTCTAGCCTTTATGCGCTTGCCTTATAAGTAATTTAGCAGTGTACAAACTGTTTTATGCAGGGTTTTGTGCTAGAATAGTGTGGGATCTTTGCGTAGGCAGGTGCGTAGGGAGGTGTATATAATAAGGTCTCCCCTTCTCCTTTACCTTCTCTTCTTTATCCTTCACTCTCTAAGCCCTACTGTACTATTCCCTGGCTCTTTTCTCTTTTTGTACAGTGCTGACAGTGACAGATCCTTATAATAAGAAAGATAAGTGTGTATAATACAAAAAAAAACAAAAACAAACAAAAAACAAAGGGAAATAGGCCTTGTACAAAGGCGTTGTTAGTCTAGTTAGTCTGAGGCATCTTTGCGCACAGGATCTAGCTGGTCCACAGATGCTTCTATCTAGACAGAGAGGCGGTTAGTTAGGACTAATAATTAAAGAGCCTAGTTTAGTGTTTTCTTTATACATGCATCTGCTAGGTTATCTTTACTATTAATCTACCTTATCTTAGCAATTTCTCTCTTCTTGTATAATTTACAGAGTAACATAATGTTAATTATAAGTTACTTTTTGCTAGTAGTGCCTAGCTTAATAAGGCAATTATATAGAGACTTTAAATCTGTGCAGATTACTACTAGAATTAGTAGCAGTTTAAGCATTTATATAATTTGCTGTAAAGTTGTACTAAAGGTAATTACATTATTAAACTCTTTAACTATTCTGTATAGTTTACTAGTAAGGACACTCTTAGTTACTCTTTTACACTTAGTAGAATTCTAGTGTATAATGTTGCTTAGTATTTTAAAGTAGTTACTTTGCTTTATATAGTTCTTATTACTTAATATAATTAAAAATTCTAGCTATAAGCTAAGGTTTTTGTTATTAGCAAATAATCTATCTATAAAGATAAACAGCTTTGCATAATTAAGCTATAATAGTAGGAAAGTAAGACTGCGCTTACTATTATCTATCTACTATTAGATTTATATGTTAAGTGTGTTAATATTGTTATGTAAAGGGTCTATAGTTTATGCAGTAATAGACAAGTTAAATGCTGCCTCTAGTTAACATATAAATGCAATGTATACCCCTCTTACACATTACTTAATATATTATTGTGCAGCATCTTTGTTTTTTAAGTTAATTATATAAAAGTAGCTTACTTATCTCTTCTAAGTAAGGACTACTATGTTATGCGTAAGTTTAATTTTTCTACTGTTAAACTTAATAGGCTGCTTTTTTACTAAAATAGTCTTACTTTTTATGTAAAACTTTACTTTTTACAGTTTCTTTTTTTCTTTTTGCGTAAAATCTTTTATTATAATGCTTAAAGTATTATTTGTCTATAGGCTAGTAATACTAAAAGTGCGCTCTCTTTTATTAGTAATTAAGAGGTAGGGGTTATATAAAAAGATATACATGCGCAGCTTTTTTTTATAGTAGTTATAATATATCTTAAACTAATACAGTCCTAATTTAGCAGCTCTATATAAGGGTTGTACAACCTAGAGTATTATATTTAGTAGAAAGCTCTAGCGCATCTCCTTTAGTAGCTTTGCATATAGCGTGCGCATAAGCTTATCTGTTAATTAGATGTATACTTATGTAATATTACGTAGTTTAAAATGCATTTTATATGTAGCTCTTAGGCTTGCTTTTATAGCTAAAAGTAGTCTCTAGCTTATCCTTTAGATAGTTAGTAACTAGGTAAGAATTTCTCTTTTCTTTTTATCTAAGTAGCTAGTAAACACTAGGCGGGATTTCTTATATAGTTAGGTTGTTTTGCCTTTTACTTTTTATATAAAGTAAAGGTTAAAAATCTAACTTTTATGCTTTATTAAGTTATACACTATAACTTTAAAAGTGCTGTTAGTAATTAAGGTGTTTATCTTTATATAGTCTAATTTCTTAAATAGTTCTTTAGGTGTAGTAATTATACTATCTATATAAAGCTTAATAGATAAGGCCTAATTATCCTTTTTCTTCTAGGTTAGGAATACCTAGTCTAGACTTTATATAGGTTTCCTTTGCCTTTTACTTCTTCTAGTATCTATATTTTCCCTTTGCACTAGTGCAGCATTGCTATTTTAAGGGGCTTAGTCTATAGTAGGCTTTAGTTCTACTTTTATAATATTCTTATAAAGCTGTTTTCTTTTCCTCTTCTTTAGAAGATCTCTTTATATAGGGATTAGTTTATCTAGGTTATCTGTTATAAGTAGGTTGTCTTTTTTTTTTCTCTATAGTATAGTTTAACTTGTGTATATTAAAGCTTTAGTAGGCTATTTTCTTTTTTAATAATAATATCTTTCTCTTTAATGCTCTTTGTAAGGCCGGATGTCCCAGAACGGGCCAGTATGGCCTCACCTGACCTGTTTGGAGGTCGTATGACCTGTGCTTCGTATATAAGCATGAATCCTG